CCCTCGGCTGGTGGCCCCCCGTGCCAGGCCTGCCTCTCCCCGCGCCCTGCCACCCCGAGGACGGCTCCCGGCCTGGGTCCCGCGGAACCGGCCCCGCCCGGAGCCCCCGTCCTCAGGCGCAGGCACTGCCCTCAGCTCCCAGTGCACCCGAGTCTGTCTCCAGGCGTCACCCGCGAGTCCTCCTTGGTCCCTACAGCGCCAGCTGCACCCGGGCTCCTTGGGAGCCTCTGTGGACAAGCCGGGAAAGGTCCCGAAAGACGCTTGTGCTCTAAGGGAACATAAGGAGACTCGGCATTTTGAAGGGGACGCCGTCTCCCTTCCACCCCCCAGTCACCAAGCGCTCGGCCGCAGGGATGAAGCTGAGCCTTTCCTCTCTCAGAGCTAAACACGGGCACTAGGCCCCGTCAGCCAGCTTCCGAGTGACGGGCTCATCCTAGGAACCAAGTGCTTCGGGAAAACCCAAAACCTCTCTGGAGCTTTAAAGGCAAAACCTCCCCAGCAGCCCGGCCGGCGTGGCTCAGCGGTTGAGCGTCGACCTAGGATCCAGGCGATCGGGGTTCGATTCCCGGGCAGGGCACAGGCCCGGGTTTCGGGCTCCATCCCCAGTCGGGGGCCTGCAGGAGGCAGCCGGTCCATGACTCTCATCATTGATGTTTCTCTCTCTCTCTCCCTCTCCCTTCCTCTCTCTGAAATCAATAAAAATATAACCAAACAAAACACACCCCTCCCCACCACCTCCCGGGATCAAACTCCAGAGCCTGTGGCACGAAAACTTTGATCAGAGAAAAACCAGAACCACCTGATCTCACTCACACGTGGAATCTAACGAACAGAAGAAACTCACGAACAAAACAGGCCCAGAGACACGGGAGCACGGAGCAGACGGAGGGTCCCCGAGGAAGGGGGCGGGGAGAGGTCAGCCCGAGCTTAGCCGCACCCCGGCGGAACCCGCGGGCGCAGACAGCCGTGTGGAGGCCTGCGGGCAGGTGGGGGGGCCAATGTGGGGGGACGGGGGCACTGTAATACTTTCAACAATGAAGATAAATTTTAAAAAAACACACACCCTGAGCAGGCAGACAGGTAGGCGAAGGGCCTCGGGGGGGTTCTCCAGATCACATGTGAGGCTCGGCTTCCTGTCCACGGTTGGGTTTTGATTCCCTAAAACCTCTGAGGTGTCTTTCCCGGGAGCCCCCCCACCCCGAACGACGAAGGGCTCTGGGGACAAGGGGCCCTCGCAGGGTCCAGGACACGGGAGAAAGCAGCGCCCAGGAACGGGCGGAGGGGCGCACCCCCCAAGGTGCTGGCGCCAGCCGGTCCCCTGCAGACAGAGCCGACCCCTGCTCTCCCCGGCCCCGGCAGAGGCACGGCCCTCACAGAAGTGAAGCGGCCACCGCGCCGGAGCCAACTGCCCGTGGCCGGGTGGTAACGGGAAGACGCCCGGCCGTGCCAGCCGGAGCCGCCGGGAGCCACGCGCCCACGGGCACCTCCTTCCAGAACTTCCGGCTGCTATCGGTCTTAGAAACTTGAATGTAAGACACTTTCAAAGGTTGAAAAGCCTCTCGTCAACACGGATTCCTGATAAAAATTAGTCCTGCGTCGCACCCATTGGCTTGGCCCTCGGGACGTATTTCTCTGTTCTTCATCTGTGGACAATCTAAAAAACCCGTGAGGTGGGGGTTCCCAGGCCAGGAAGGTGGGTTTCGGCCGCGGGAGGCGCTGCGCCTGGGGGGTGCTGCCACCTTGTGGCAGAGCTGGCTCCGCACACTGTCTGGTTCTTTAGAGTCCACTTGGGGCAGGGTTGTTTTTTCAGTTTAATTTTCTTGCTGCTGACGGCATTACAAACGTCTCCCATTCTCTCCCTTTTTCTTCCCTCCACCCAACGCCCGCCCCACCCAGGCCTCCCCACGCTGCTGTGTCCACGGGCTCTGCGTATGCGCAGTAAGTTCTTTGGTTAATCTCCTCCTGGGGCAGATTCTTAACCCGCAAGCTGGACAGAAACACGGCACCTCTGACAAGCATGGGGCTAAAATTACGGAATCCACTTTGCAGCTTAGTTTTCCCCCAAAGTGTCCCTTTACTGGCGGACGTCCCCATACAGGTCAGGACGCGTGAGGGCAGGACCCCAGTTCTCTGGCAGCCTCCCTCGGGCCAGGCCAGGGGTGGGCAGGGTCGGCCCGGACGGGACCTGCACAGTGATCTGAACATGGAAACCCGGTCAGGGCGGTGAGTGCCTGCTCTCTCCAGGACACCCAAAGCCTGTGATAACAGGATTTCTGTAACGGTCTTCACAGGGCAGGTGGAAAAATGTTCCCAGGTGAATTTTAATTTTTTAAAAAATTGAGGCAGTTGCCCAGCCGGGCGTGGCTCAGCGGTTGAGTGTCGACCTGGGATCCAGGCGATCGGGGTTCGATTCCTGGTCAGGGCACATGCCCGGGTTGCGGGCTCGATCAATGACTCGCTCATCATTGATGTTTCTCTCTCCCCCTCTCCCTTCCTCTCTCTGAAATCAATAAAGATATATTTAAAAAAATAAAATAAAATAAAATAAAAAATTGAAGCAGTTGCCCAGCCGGCGTGGCTCAGTGGTTGAGCGTCAACCTAGGATCCAGGAGATCACAGTTCAATTCCAGGTCAGGGCACAGGCCCCGGTTGTGGGCTCCATCCCTAGTAGGGGGCGTGCAGGAGGCGGCCGATCAATGGCTCTCATCATTGATGATTCTATTTCTCTCTCCCTCTCCCTTAAATCAATAAAAGCATATTAAAAAAATAAAATAAAAATAAGCTGAATGTAGCTTTGTGCTTCTACCTAGACTAAGAAAACAAACAAACAAAACCCCCCAAACCCCCAACACAATTGAAGTATCTATCATTTCAGTGTCTGGAAAGTTGTGCAAACACCCCACAGCTCTGCCTAGTGCATGAGCAGCGCCCCCGGTGCCGGACTCACGTTCGAGCTCCTGCCCCGCGCAGACTTGGAGGCGTCTTCGTCGCTGTCGGCCCCCGACAGCCTGCGCTGCTCCACCTGCAACAGAAGCACAGCCCAGGTCACCTCGGGGTGCCAGTGGGTACAAACAACATCATCATCCTTGGCAAACACTCGGGCTCAACGTCCGCGTGGCCACACGTCCAGGCACAGCACCTGTGCTGAGCAGTGTGACCCCAGCCACAGCTCCGGCTTCTGACCCAAGCGCTGGCCTCGCCGGCTGGTCTGGAAGCCACCGCGTTGAAACCCACGCTCAGGGGGTGACTGCCGCTCTTTTCCAGCAGCACCCCTTTAGCTTAGAAAGCGGGTAACATGAGGGCGGGCATGTGCCCGGGCTGATGGCGTTCACCCAGAGACCCCGCCAGCTAGCCGGGCTTGCAGGGTTTCTAAGTTGTAACCTGAGTTTATCGCCGCACCGAGCGCGGCTGGGTGAGCGCCGGCAGAGCCGACCGGGGGTCTCGCTTCCTCACTGATCAGAGGGAAACGATGACGTCACACGTCACCGTCTGAGAGAAGGCTCCTCAGGGTGGCGTGTTGGCCACGAGCCACGGAACTGCCCGGTTTAACGGGAAGAAACAGCTCTGCGCCCACCTCGCCTCCCAGGTGAGCATCTCTGGGCCGTGACCCAAGAATCCAAAGGTCTTACGGTGCCTCGTAAGTACTTTTGAGAACTGTTGGGTCAGGAGAATAAATAATGTCAAAAAGACACAAAATCGTCATGGTTTAAAAACATTAAAACTCCGAAGTTTTAAAAGAAGGGATTTTTGCTCCCATCTACTTCGGCCAGAACAGTGTCCCTTTAGGTATATTCTGGACTGAGATCCTCACACACACACGTGTATTTGTGGGTTTTTTTTAAGGAGATTAACACTAAAGTCTCGCTTTAGCTTAAACTGCCTGACGTGCTCTGTGCTCTGTTCTCTGAGACATCTGCAGACTATCGGGCATTGCAGGATCTTAGAAATCATTTCCTAAGTTGTTTACTGTAAACCCTCGTATTACAGATAAAGAAGATCTGAGCCCCGGCCCGTCCGGGAACGTGCACTGTGGGGGGGCTCTGGATGGACAGGCGGGGGCTCCGGGCTCACTCGCACCACGGTTCGCTCAGGGCTCAGCAGCCTGGTCCCGTCACCCGTCAGGTGGGGTGACCAGCCTCTCTCCCAGCTTTCCATAAACGTTAAACGGGACTGCATCGGGCGCAGCATCTCAAACAATGAAACTGCAGGGGAGGGCCCGGCGGCGTGGCTCAGGGGTTGAGCATCGGCCTGGGATCCAGGAGATCGAGGTTCGATTCCCGGTCGGGGCACAGGCCCGGGGCGCAGGCTCCTCGATCCCCAGCAGGGGGCGTGCGGGAGGCGGCCGATCAACGACTCCCATCATTGATGTTTCTCTCTCTCTCCCTCTCTCTGAAATCAATAAAAACTTTTTTTTTTAAATAAAAAAGTGGAGAGAAGCGAGGAATGAAGGAGCGAATCCCCACAGCGGCGATAATCTAATAAGGAAACGACTGAAGAAAGGGTGTTGAGAGAAAATACAAGCGAAGGAGGCAGAGATCCAAGGGGAAGGGGCGTGAGGGAGGGAAGCCGCTTCCAGCTGGCCCGAGAGAGGAGGAGAGGAGGCCACAGGAAAGCAGCCCCGTGGCCACAGGCCGTCGTCCGTGGCATTCGCCCAGTGGGTCACCCTTTGCTGCTGGGGGTCAGAGCCGAGTCCGACTCTCGGGCCCCCCGCGCCTTAGGCTCTTATGCTACTTAAACAGAAGCGTTTCCAGGGTTTCCTGTGGCTTTGGGGGCAGCTCCTGACGCTCTGGGCCATCTGCGGGGACCCAGGCTGTTCCGTCTCAGCTCAGCTGTGAGGGGCCCCCCACACTCCCCCGTCCCAGCATCCCTCCTGTGCCCCGGCCCGGGCACCGTGCATGCGGCAGTGGGCACGGGCTCAGGGCTACAGTCTGCTGTGAACCCCGAGAACAATGCTTCGGGGTTCGCTGCGGATGAGGGAGTCAGTCATCGCAGGCCAGGTGGATAAGCCCCTTTCTTTGACCCAAAGGGATCCGGCTCCTCAATATGCCGAAACCTCCCAGGAGAGCCCGGGCACAGACCCTGGGGAAGCCGGCTCCGCACGGAGGACCCCGCGTGCGTTTAACCCGTTACCTTGCTGTCGCTCCTTTTATGCACTTTGAAAAACCCGAGGAATTTCTTCCTTTCTTTATCTGTCTCGTCGCTGCCAAGCGAGGACTTTCTGAAGGTTTCTGGGGGGGAAAGAACAGAGTTTTCAGCGTGAGAGATCAACGCTTCATGGTAAAAATCTCAACCAAGGAATCCTCTGCTCCTAAACTTTTAGTTTTTGTACGAGAGTCAGACCATCAGCTCTTCCCCTCCAGGCCCCCAGCCGGGCCCTGAAACCCCAGCAGGGCCCCCCCCC